GTTTTTTTTTTTTTTTTTTTTTTTGGTACTGGGGATTGAACTTGGGTCTTTGTGCTTGCAAGGCAAGCCACCAAACCGCTGAGCTAAATCCCCGGCCCAAGAAATCGACTTTTTATAGCACCTACATATGAGTGACTATATCACTCATCTTTCTGTACCAGCCTCATTTCACTTAGCATATTATCCTTCAGTTCCATCCATGTTGCTATAAATCCCAGGATGTCACTCTTTTTCATGGATGAATAGTACTCCATTGTGACCACACACCACGTTTTCTTTATTCATCTGCCAATGGACACCTCATCTGATTCCATGGGAATGCAGACATCTCTTCAACATACCAAGTATTTTAAGGTCAGGTGATTAAGCTGCAACCTTACTTCCCCTTTCCTATATAACTAGCATATTCACAGATTTGTGGTATTATTCTGCATCCCACAGACGGAGCTCCATATCAGGCACAGTCAGCCTGCTATGATTTCTTCCCATGCATGGCTGATGAAGGGATCAGAAGAAGGGGTTGGGGTCCAGTCAAGCAAGTCCGTCATGTTCACACATAGACTGGGCTGCCTGTCCTAATTCAGACACTGGTCTGAGTCTCTGGACGTGCCCATCATCTTAAACGAAGTTACCTAAAACTGTTCTTTTACAGTGTAAATCTTTCTCCTTTTATATAGCTGAATATATACATCTTTTCATTAGACCATGAACAGCAGATGCCCACACAAGCCTCCATGCCCTAGCTCCTATTCGCAGCAAACATCATTAGTTAATTATGTCATTCTTTATAACCTCCTCATCTTTCTCAGCTCGGCACCCAGGCACAGTACTGGCCAACTAGCACTGTTACATAAGATGCTGGTAGTTTATACAATAACATCTCATTTAACAATATTTTAAGGACACTACCATATGTATATTAGACATTAAGCCTAAGGAAGTAACAAATACTACTTTTATAAAATAAAGAAGAGGTGCCCAGCTATTTGGAGTTAATAAGTGATAAAACTCTCATGATCTAAATTTGACAATCTTTTCTGTATATACAATCTGCATACAATGTATAGCACAAGCATGACCAAAATACAAAGAAATACACAGAGAATGCTGTAGGCAAAGGGAAGCTGTCTCCAAGGGACATTTCGTAAGGAAAGCAGAACAAGAAATCCCTGCATTCCTAGATGGTCAGGCATTGTACTTCAGATTCTAAGTACTTAACCTTCACCATTTGTCAGTTAAAAATAAACTGAAATGTGCGAAATCTGCTGGTATGAGAAGAAAGTGCAAAGTTCTTTCATTTCAGCGGAGAAAAATAAAAATAATACCACAACAAGGAGACTCTGGGTCACAGTCCCCTCCTAGAAAAGCCAGCTACAGAGTTATACAGTACCTACTTTACTTAAGAAGTCACTCAGCAATAACCCATTCCTGGAACACAAAAGCTTGACCAACCCAGAAGGCACTTAATTAAAGAATGAATCGTGAACAATAATGAATTCCTAAAGACACCCACATGGTACTCCTTCTGGGACATAAATCTACCCCTGAGCTGCAGTGGACACTCCATCTAGATGATACGTTGTTACTTCAATATAAAACCAAGTCTGACAATATAATATGATCAAATTTCGGCTACAGAAAGACTACTCTATCCGCCGCCTGCGTCACAAGCACAAGGACCCAAGTTCAGTCCCCAGTAAACAAACAAACAAACAAACAGAAAGACTGCTCTAGAAAGGCTCCCCCGTCCTGAAAGCAGGTCAGAAACACTCCTCCCATCCCTGTAACTATCTTTTGTGCCCCTCCCAAAGCCTCAGAGCACGGAGCTATGGTAACACTCCTGAAGATAACCTGAAGAAACCTGGTTGTACCATTTGCACCCAAATATCAAAAGCCTAACTTTTCAATACCCAATGGAGCAGGGATTGGAGCTAAAGGATGAAGGGAGGGAGAGAGAAAGAGAAAGAAAGGGAGAATGTGAGGGGGGAGGGAGAGAAAGGGAGAGAAGGAGAGAGAGAGAGAGAAAGGCAGTCTGAAATCAGAGGGCCTGAGAAGCGACAGCTGGCACTGGCAATGAAAACAAAGAGGCTAAGAATGAAAAGACTGAAGAAGCAACAAGTCCATCTTGTGGTTTTCTTACTTGGCAGGCACAAAGACTGCTGTGCAGAACAGTCCACGGGATATGTTTGTGATGGGCTCAGCGGGTACAGTGACTTACGCAGCCATATGGCACCACTTGAATTCTCAAAGTCAAGTATTCCTTTCCTTCCACAGCACTGTTAGTTTATGGTTACGTATTTCGTTATGCAGTGTTTTTGTTTAGTTTCCAGATCTCCCATTGAAATGTAAGCTTTCGAAGGCAGAAATTATGCGTTTGTTCCCTAACCTGCCACTGTATAAATTAAACATACAATGTCTCTATAAATATCTGTTGAACAAGCCAGGTACGGTGCCACATGCCTGTAATTCCAGGACTCAAGGAGGCGTAAGCAGGAGGATCATAACGTTTGAGCTCAGCCTCAGAACTTAGTGACTTAGTGAGACCCTGCCTCAAAGGCGGGGGCTGGAGATGTTGCTCAGTGCAAAGGTCCTGGGTTCAATCCCCAGTTCTTCTACCCACAATTGTTGAACAAATGAATGAGTGAATGAACAAACTCCTGAAGGGTCAATGAATTGCAAACATGCGTACAATTTGGGCTTTGTGAAGGAATCTGGGCATTGCTCAAGCAGAGAGAAGAGAAGGGCAAGTTAGGCAGAAGGACCAGTGCAGGCAAATGTATGAAGAGCTGAAAGAAAGGCAGTCTAGAGTAGCCAAAGGAGTTACTGCCTCCTTGAGATGTCCTACACTTTGGGATAACTAATAGGTGTCTCAATACCATCTGTCAAGAAAGCAAGGCTTTGCAAGGAAATGTAGAAAAATTATTCTATACTTAGTCTTCCAAAAACTCTAGGATATTTTCTACTACCTCAAATTTAAG